TGCAAAGCCTCGGTACAGTCCACAGCGCCACACCTTTCTGCAATTTCTCCAGACTGTACCAGAGGCTGGCTGTAGTCACTCTGGACCTTACTGAAGCTCTATGTAGCCACATAACTACCCCCTACCCCCCCCCCCAAACCTCTCCAAGCTCCTCCCACCTTTTGGTGTAACGGGCCATGTCCCAGGCGATGTAGTCGATGCAGTGCTCCGGAGGCAGGAACTGGTTGAGGTTAATGACAGCAGGGTACAGCTCCTCACTCAGGATCTTCTCATGCTTCCTCTTCTCCCGCTTCTAGGGGCAAAACCGGGGGGGGGGGGGCACAGTAAGACCGCATACCTATGCCCCAAATCCCCACCCAGAAGGTGGCCTTCTACACAGACCCCACAGGAAACTCTGACACAGAACTGACTCAAAACTCGTAAGACTTTTATCATTATCATCATGACCAGAGCCTATCCCGGGAACAACGGGTGCAGGTGGGAACCAACCCCAGGTGGGCGCCAACACACTGCAGTTCCAATATATCATTTAGTCATAGGATGTGGATGTGATATATTAAGATAGGATGTGATTTAGCTAGCCGACATGCCATATCTGCGCACGGCCATCAGCTTCTCACCTGCCGAGCAACAAAACGTTTCAGAGAATCTGTACGCAGGCAGCCAGACACACATGCACACACGTGCACACACACGCACACGCAGACACACACACGCACACGCAGACACGTGAGCACACTGCGGACCTCAGACCCTTATTAACATTTAAATTGCTCCAGGATAAATGATGATGATTGTGCGGGGGGGACTGCGGGGGGGGGGAGTAAATCTTCAGATACACAGATTAATGTGGGTATACTTCTACAAATGCTAACGAGGTAATTTACACATAACGACTTGGGACAGGTGCCTTGAATGCGGCAGGCCACGTGCTGCCCAACCCCCCCCCCCACCGCGTTTAAGTCTCCCTCCCTCCTCTCAGGTGACAGATAGGAATTCCCCGCCCACATCCCCCTGGTGTGAGGGAGCCCCCCCTCCACACAACCCGTGAGTTTCAACGTGATGCAGGCAACAGGCCCCAGCCCAAAACCCCCCCACCAGCTGAGGATGCAGGCGACAGCTGTAGAGATTTATTAACTTATAACCATTTAAGGGCCAACAAGATTCCTCCCTTTAAAAAACCAACATTGACTTTTTAAAGCCCAGAGATCCAGATGCCCACAAAATGCACTAAGAGCTGATGAATTGCAGTTGAACTGTAAATAATTAGAGGAGACTCCAGCTACCTCTGACCCCATCTGATTAAAACACAGCAAATGTTCATCAGCATGGTACACTAGATGTTTGGACTTTCCCTGAAGCTGAAATTGCCACCCCGGCTTGCCGGTTATAATTAAGAAAATCAGATCCTATCGCTCATGTCAGACCCTTCTTAGCTCTTGGGACTGGTGTGAAGCAAGTTTTTAGAAGTAGTGTTAAGAACACTGGTGGCATTCAGGCAGTGTGTAGTGGTGACTGCTGATGAAACCATTGCTAGGGTCCAGCCTTACATAGTGACCAGAAACCTAATCACACCAAAAGCTAAATAGCTAGCTAAGCTTCCTTTAAATATTCAACCAACTAAAGCTCCATATCAAAGGGCCAGCAAACCCCCACTTTCAGAGCGTGTAAAATGCTTAGCCCCTAAGATCCAACAGCGTAGATTACAGACACCCGGCCCCAAAAGCTACCTTGACCAGGTTGAGGATGATGATGGGCGAGCCGAACCTCTTCAGCATCTGGTCGAAGTGCAGCGCCGCCACAGTAGCGTAGGGATCTGCCTGGTCCACTGGAAGGGCAGAAAAACAGTTGCTGAGAAAAACCCTGGAATCCCAAGACAGAACACGCAGGGTGATACGCAGCGAGCAGCCGGGACCAGAGGGACACTCAGGAAAACCCTGAAATCCCAACACGGCATGCGGGGTGATACCCGGCGAGCAGCCGGGACCAGAGGGACACTCAGGAAAACCCTGAAATCCCAACACGGCATGCGGGGTGATACCCGGCGAGCAGCCGAGACTTACTTGGACCAGAGGGCTGCAGGTCCAAACCTGCTCTGATATCAGAGATGCATAAAGGTCCAGTTTTAGGGGATTAGAAATGAAATTGAGTTTTATTTGCCACTTGTACAAGTATGATCAAAGACACAGAGGCCTAACCTACTGAGGGACACACCCGACACCCAGAGAAAACAGGATTCAAACCCACAGATGCCGAGCAGATCGGATCAGCAGTTCATTAACCACTTGCCCACCATCTATGACCAAATACCTTGGTCTTAGATAATAATAATACAAGCAGTTTAATGATATAGTTCTAGATTTGCAGTAATAACATAAAATATTGGTTTTATCAGCGTCAACAAAATGAAAAAAGTTCCCAGGAAGTAACCAAATGTAACATCTAAAACTTACTATCTCCCCAAAAGATTAAACAAAATATTTTGTTTCTTTAATAAAACATGCTATAAATTTAGTTTTAAAAACATTTTGTTTGCTTTTCTCAAGATTTTAACACTAAAGACGTAAAAATATAGGTCGTGTTGCTCCCTTGTGTTCAAAGGAAGGAACTTGTTAACATTTTCAAAGCATCAATGATGCCACTATTCAAAAGCCAAATGAGTACCGTAGGTAATTGGACCGCAGCTTGTTTGAAAGCACAAAGGACCACATCCAAGCAGCACTCCCCTTCGGGATCTTAACTAACTTATTCATATAGTTATTACGGCTAAATCCCACGCATAAAACTCAATCATCTTGTATAACGAGCCCATTTGTGTGCGTATAATGTAGCATAAGCAATGACAAATGGCCGTGTGGTCCAGACTGCTGGTAAACATAATAACACTGACCTACTTATCTCTATAGTAATAAATTACTTGTATGTTAGTTGCTTTCAGTGAAAAACAATTTTCACAGTAAAACAAACACTGAAACTGCAAACAGCTTAACTGATTCTCTGAAAACCATCGAAGTGAGTTTATTAAGTTAACAGCCAGACAACACTTAATTAATATTTTAGCATCACATTAAAACAAACCAAACATGGAAACAAACGATGCACCCAAACTGTTTCAATCTCTACATTTTAAAAATGTAGGAAAAAAAAAAAATCAGAAGGGGGAGGAGAAAACGACCCCAAAAGGCTCGACTTCCATGCTAAAGCCTTCATCCAGGTTCCTATTTCTTCCTATTTGTTAAGAGGCGGGCAAACTGTTTTAAATGTATTTGTAAAATTGTTTTTGTGTCATAAACATCAAAAACAAACTGAACTGCATGGAATTCTTTCCAGGGAAACATTGTAACTACTATTGGGTGAAGGATCGGAGAGAAAGAGTACATGTGGACTGCAGGAAAAGAGACGCAAGAGTGTGGCTGAATGGACAAAGGCTCTATGGGTGCAGTAGTGGAGAAGAGGAGTGTGTACAAAGGGTGGAGAGATGGACGAGTGGGGGAGAGAGTGAGTGGTTTGGATGAAGGTCTGGGGATGAAGATGAGGGTGAATGTAGGGAGAGCCTGGAGATGAAGATGAGGGTGAATGTAGGGAGAGCCTGGGGATGAAGATGAGGGTGGATGAAAGGAGAGCCTGGGGATGAAGATGAGGGTGGATGTAAAAAGGGCCTGGGGATGAAGATGAGGGTGGATGTAGGGAGAGCCTGAGGATGAAGATGAGGGTGGATGAAAGGAGAGCCTGAGGATGAAGATGAGGGTGGATGAAAGGAGAGCCTGGGGATGAAGATGAGGGTGGATGAAAGGAGAGCCTGGGGATGAAGATGACGGTGGATGAAAGGAGAGCCTGGGGATGAAGATGAGGGCGGATGTAGAGAAAATGTAAGACTGAAACAGAAGCAGCATGTACAGCGGGCGATTGTGAGGACATGGGGTGGACTCGGGATAGACCATTCTCTGAGGACATGGG